AACTGGTACTTTGAAAACCAAAGTAAAACACCCAAAAATAGAAAATAGAAATCCGCATACTTAAAGCGAATCGGGTGAAACGGATAGAAGAGCATGCACTAGAAATTTTTTTGGATTACCGGAATACCTTTCCCTTTGAAACCTATTTTTCTGATTATGTCCGATACACCCGCAAAAAATCTCTGCTAGTTTACCTACGTTCAATTTTGAAAAAAATCTAATCTAAGCAAAAAATGTATGAAAAATCATCAAAAAATATAAAAATTCCAAAAATTGTCGAATCATCAAAATTTAAAAAATGTTTTTATAACTTTCTAGCAATCAAAAACCGCTAAAAACACTGTAAAATAATCATAGATCATTAAAGGGTAGGTTTAGGTGGAAAACAGAAAGTGGTTTTGCCCCCTGCTAAAAATCCCCCCCCCCGCTAACAGCCCAGAACCAATTTTCGGAGGTCCGCGCACGCTAGCAGAGATTCTTTACGCAAGAATCTCTGCTAGCCTGTCTCGGCGAGGACGGGCTAGCAGAGAAAATGTGAGGAAAATCTTCTGTAGTTTGCCCGGATTTCCGTGTACAACCCTATGAATCACGAAATCCGGCGGGGTATGACGTGCTCTGGGAGCACGTTTTCGCCTCCCCCATTAATGTCACTTCTTGCCCTTCACCACCCATCCCCAAATCCCACCGTAACCCCGGGCCGCCACGCCAAAATCAGGGCTTATTGAAAATTTTGGCCGTATTCATCTGGGATGGGGGAGTGTGTGTTTCAGTTTTTCAGTGTAGCCGATAGCTACGTGAGAATACGGCCTGACGGTGGGTATTTCAAAAATTTTCAAGTTTCCGGCTTCGAGTTTTTAAAATGTTTCAAGTTTTGGTGGATTTTGGAAGGGAAATTCGGGTCTAGTTGGCATTCCGGACAGATTCCATTGCTTAGGCTTAGGCTTGGTTTAAGCTTCGTTTTGGGCTTAGGCTTAGGCTTGGTTGAGGCGTAGGCTTAGGTTTAGGTTTAAGCGTAGGCTCAGACTTAGGTTAGGCTTAGGTTTAGACTCAGGTTCACGCTTAGGCTTAGGCTTAGCTTCGGCTTAGCCTAGGTTGGACTTAGGCTTAGGCTTAGCTTAGGCTTTGCTTAGGTTGAGGTTGGGCTTAGGGTTAGGCTTAGGCTTGGCTTAGCTTAGGCTTAGGCATAAGCTTGGCTTAGGCTTAGGCTTATGCTCGCTTTTTCTATTTAAAACGATTTTTGACAAATTTCTGACAATATTTTTTGGAATGTTTCAAAATTTGGTGGATTTTGGAAGGGAAAATGGGGCCTAATAGGCAGATGACACGCAAGCAGGGTTGGTCATTTTCGGATCGGACTGGATCCGGATCCGCCGTAGGATCCGGATCCGTATCCAGATCCAGGGCGGATCCGATCCGATCCGGATCCAAAGAAATGGATCATGCAACCGAGCTAAGTGCTAATTCTAAGATGCAAAAATCATTTCTGCCTCTGGGCTATGTATTTTTGCGATTAACATGACCGAATCAGCATCAGAATCTAGAATATTATTTCCGGTCCCTTTTTTCCTCGGATCCGCATTGGATCCGGATCCGAGCGGATCCGTATCTGGATCTGGATCCGGATCCTACTGCGGATCCGATCCGGATCCGGATCCAGATCCGATCCGGATCCTTACCGATCCGGGTCCATCGGTGAACAACCCTGCACGCAAGGCACCATGGGATTCACTTTCTGGGTAAGAGAAAATTGAAAATTGGCGTCATGATCGTTGCGCTTTCCCCATGTTTTGAGATATATTCATTTCAAAACCCTTTAAAAATAGGGCCATTTAATGAATTTTATGGTTTCATTATTTAAAAAAAACATGTTTCCCTAAAAAACTTCTCCTAAAGAGTTAAAAAGTTGTTGGTTTCCCCGTACGACAAAACTGTATGGTTTTTTGGCTTCCCCGAAGGTAATTATTTTGCTTTCATAAATGCTTTAATAAAATATTTTCGAAACATCTTTTTTTATAAATCTTGCTAAACTGGTTGATTATTTTTGTTTCGAACAAAAATCCCCTTTTTCTAGTTTTAATGCCAAGGTAACTGCACTCAACAGCGATGGAAAATCTATTTTTATTTTTAGTTATTTTTTAGTTTTAGTTTTTAGTGATAGTACGGTATATAAGCCAATTTTAGTCCTATTTCGAGAAAAAGCACACTCCACAAAATATAACGATATGAAAAATGACAAAAAATTGTCAAAATTTCTTTCAAATTTCAGTTTACAATATTTTTATTTCTGTCACTGGTTAGGCATCAAAACTACGCAAATGATGCGCAGCTTATTACTAATAGGTAAATACATAAGAGCAGAAAATTAAAAATAGCTTCCACCCCCCGCTAACAGCCCAGTACCCCATATTTCGAATTTCGCTAGAAAAGGCCGTTCCGGTTTTCTTCGTTTTCTAATTGTCCTGTTAAATAAATTAGTGACCTGTAGGAAAAGGAACATCAAAATTGAACAGATAAATCGAAACCCGGATCGGTTGCACTTTCACAACCTTCCAAGCCCCACATTTTCAAAACATATTTTTATTTTGCATTTTTTTGTTAATTTTCCAGATCTAGAACAATGTTTCTCGTCTCGTCAATAGATGTATTTCACTGGCCTAATTTAGCCCGCTAATAATTCTAATATCCCGACAATCACTGCCGTGGAACAATGGCTAGATTTGCCCACACGGGCCGGCAAATCTATTTTCCTCGCTATTCAATGGGATTTATCAATTATTTCCCAAAACGATAAACATCATCTCGGCACCCTGATTTTCGATCCCTGGCCTCGTGTTTAAAGGGAGTGGAAAAGCAGAGCTTAGGCTTCGGCTTAGGCTTGGCTTAGACTTGGGATTAGGGCAGGTATAGTTTTCTTTACCCCGAATTCCCAAAGAATCCCACCTTCAAGGAAAGGCTAGCAGTCGTCATTTGGAATATGACACCTCGTGATCTTCAGAAAGCGGGCAAGCTGGCAGAGATCCGTTAGGAAAATCCTCAGATACCGAGAACATCCGGATCACCACAAGGACCATCCGGTGTTCCTGGAATTTCGTCGGCCTATGTAAGATTTTGTTCTACCCTATTTTCTGGCGTGGCCCCACAGATCCGCTGGTAAATCCGGGTGGCCCAGACGGTTAATTCTTTTATTGTCGTGGGGTGGACGGCAAAAAATCGGGGGATCAGATGAGATCGGATGGGGTGACGGTCAGGGGGTATAAAAGGGCTGGGAATCCTCCCAGCCCTTCATTTATACACTTCGGCTGTATTCGTCATTTTTAAGGGACTGGGAAGTGGGGCAGGCTAGCAGAGATTGGTGAGGAGGAGGAGAAGGCAGGCTAGCAGAGATTATTGAGGAAGAGGAGAGGGCAGGCTAGCAGAGATTGTTGAGGAAGAGGAGAGGGCAGGCTAGCAGAGATTGTTGAGGAAGAGGAGAGGGCAGGCTAGCAGAGATTGGTGAGGAAGAGGAGAGGGCAGGCTAGCAGAGATTGGTGAGGAGGAGGAGAGGGCAGGCTAGCAGAGATTGTTGAGGAAGAGGAGAGGGCAGGCTAGCAGAGATTGTTGAGGAAGAGGAGAGGGCAGGCTAGCAGAGGATGTTGAGGAATTTGGCGCAAATTTCTGTCTTTTCCGCGTTTTTCCATTTCCATCGTTTTTTTTGGCTCAGGCAGACTAGCAGAGACCCTTTGCGGAACTCCCGACAACTTCCCGGACCCTTTAAAAAGTCGCGATTCTCATTCCAATTTGTTTCACTCGTGTCTGGCGGGCTGATGCCCGCCAAACACGCCACCCGCCGCGTCAAATTTTTGCCTAGCAATGGCTCGGCCGAAGACAATAGCAAGGGTTCTTCGGGCTTGAATAGCGAACATCGGCGCAGGCATCGATTTTGGCTTCACAGTTCCTTTAGAACATCGAGATTAAAATTCTGCAAATTTTTTATGAGCTGAAAAAACGGGTTTCATTTTATGGGTGCTTGACGTAGTTACTAGCTTTTGCAATACACACAGCTTTGGGGTTCTCGCCAGTGTTCAGTAGCCTGTAAAAAAATGCTTTCGGAGTGGTCATTTAATAATTTTCTGTTAAAAAGTCGGCATATCACATTGGAACAAGAGTCTTAGATCGAATTGTGGCCTGACGGTTCCTTTAAAGCATCAAGTTTCGGCTTCATGAAATTACTAACCGAAAACGCGTTTCATTTACGAGTCCGGTTATCTGCCTTTCTTGACTACATAATAAAAGGACGCTCCATTCGAAAAGCATTCGTTAAAAGGCTTTGTTTGGATAAAATTTTTTTGACATCGATAAAAAAGTTTCGTGGCCGTCACATTCCTAATGAAATGGCATTTTTTCGAGCCTCCTCTTTAATAGTAATCGACACCTTTTTAAGGGAAGACGGAAAAAATTTGAACAATTAAGAATTATAAAACCGTATGTTTCAGATTAATAGGCGTCCAAGCGTGTATCTCATTTTCTAATGCCTCACTCCGCTTGGTCGACGTCACTTTCATGCACATGTTTTTGCTTCTGTTATTTGTTTCCAATTCTTTTTCCCCCTTTTTGCATATCTCGTAGCGATAAATTTGGGCCCGGAGGGCCCAAATGGGAACTAGATTTATGGGCCTCGGAGGGGGACCAGATCTGGCTACCAGCCAATTTTGGATGCGTTTTTGAGGCATTTTAGATTTCCTCAACGATCTCTGCTACTCTGCCCTCTCCCTTTCCTCAACAATCTCTGCTAGCCTGCCCCTCTCCTCTTCCTCAACAATCTCTGCTAGCCCACCCTCTCCTCTTCCTCAACAATCTCTGCTAGACTGCCTCTCCCCTCTTTCTCCATTTTTCACATATTTTCTCATTTTTTAAATTTTTTAAATGTTCCTAATGATCTCTGCTTGGCTCATCGTTCCGTTTCACTTCCGCAACAAATCTCTGCTAGCTTGCCGTCACCTCGTCATTTTTAGGTATACAAAATGTGCCGTCTCCTGGTGCCCCTCTGCGCCCTCATCGGGCTAACGCTGGCCGTGCAGCCGTTTGGTGACGATGGTTATGCTGGGGGTACGGTAACTAGACGGATTTTAAGATCGTGAACAACTTATGAAAATAACTTAACGCGTTAAATTGAAATTTAAATTCAGAAATGGCCAAGCGTAAATCGGCATACATGCGATTCGGGCGCTCCGACCCGGATATGGTGCCGGTGGAGGATGAAGCTTTGGATATGGAGAAGAGGAAGAGCGCCTATATGAGGTACTTTGTTGTGGATTTTTGGATTCGATGGTCCTTTAAAGGATGGGGCAGGCTAGCAGAGACGCAAACCTAGCAAAGATCATTTGAGAACGACTTCGTTTCCAGATTCGGTAAGCGATCGGCAGCTGCTGAGCAGGAGCTGGTGCCTGAGGACGAGATGGCCTTGGAGAAGCGCAAGTCCGCCTATATGCGCTTCGGCAAGAGGAAGTCGGCTTATATGCGGTACGTTGCGGAGAGAATTTGAGGAATTCTGGCCCCACCACAGCTCCAGGGCAGGCTAGCGAAGACTATTTGAGACGTATTTCTCTGAGCAAAGTGCCCCTTTTAGCTTCGGAAAGCGTTCCCCGGTTGAGTCGATGATCGAGGAGGCGGAGCCGCTCGATATGGAGAAGCGGAAAAGCGCCTACATGCGGTGAGAGAGAGAGAGAGTGAGAGAGAGTGTGCGAAAAAGAGCGAGAGAGAGAGAGAGAGTGAAAGAGAGTGAGTGAGAAAGAGCGAGAGAGAGAGAGAGAGAGAGAGGCGAGGGAGAGAGTGAGTGAGAAAGAGCGAGAGAGATCGAGGGAGAGAGAGGGCGAGAGAGCGAGAGAGAGGGAAAGGCGAGAGCGATGATTTTCGTGAAAATCGAGTAGGATAGGCAGGCTAGCAGGGATCCTTTGTGGAAAAATCTATTTAACCCAAATTTTTCAGCTTCGGAAAATAAATGGCCCGCCTTCGACTCCGACAGCCACGAATCCGAAAAACATTCCGATTTTTCCATATTCAGCCTGTTATTTTCTTTCTGATTTTAAGAGCATTCCAAGAGTCTACAGTACCCCAAAAATGCTTTTTTTGTCCCCAATTTTCTGGATTTCCCCACCACCCCTACAGCTTTACAGTGCGCAGCAATAAATCCCGGTTGTTTTTGTTGGGTTTCCCGAATCGTTTATGCAAATTACGATTAAAGTAACGGAGAAGCCAGGGTTATGGATTTTTGGCTGCTGGATCTTCAAAGATTTTTCCGCGCCGCGATACGCGACGCGAAGCCAGATTGGCCAGCTTTGTCGAAAATCGTTTTGTCGAAAATCATTCTGTCGAAATTTTATTTTGTCGAAATGTCATTTTATTGAAATTTCAATACGCTAAAATTTCGTTTTGGGAAGCGTTTAAGATGAATAATCGCGGCGAAAAGGCATTGAAATTTTGACAAATTGAACCGTCGGTTTCGATTAAAATTTTGATTAAAATCTCGCTAAAATGATTTTCGACAAAATAAAAATAAGTTCTTATGGCGCAAATTTCCATATTATCAGATTTACATTTCCCATATGCCCCATTTTCAAATTTCGAAATTTACACCAAAAATACAACAAAAACGCACAAATTTCAAGCCCCTCTAAAAATTCGAAACTAGAAAAATTCGGTTTCAAAAAAAATCGCAATTATGGATATTCGCTTTTCTGCAAGTATGAGATTATTCAAATTTTATGCTCCGATCTCAAAATTCCAATAAAACACGCAACGCGCACGCTTTGATTTATATTGCGTAATCGATTACGAGCTGGTTTCTGGCGCCGCGAGGCGTGCGCGTTGCGTGTCGCGGGACCGAAAAAACCGAAAAAATCTGAGAGGAACCCATAGCCAAAAATCCATAATCATCCCTTTTCCGTCCTTTAAAAAACATCCAAAATCACACGTAAACTAAAAAGCACAACAGCTACCGTACCCGACAAGCCGTGACCGGTCGTCAAAATGGAATCGAAAATTGCAGCAAAAAAAAAATCAGAAAAATAAAATCCTTCATTTCTTCAGCGACAGCGCGCCTGACTTCAGGCCCAGATCTGAAAAAAATCGGGATAAATTTTGATTCAGTGCTAAACTAAGAAAAATCCGGATTTTCTAAGCTGCAGGCTACCAGCCACAAGCTACAAATTACAAACTACAAAATTAGCATAATACCACTCACTTTTCTTCGCCTTGAACTCGGCCAATTTCTGGTTGATGTCGACGGTCTTGGAGTTGGATGAGGGAAGGGTCTGAAATGGGAAAGTGAGGATAGAGAGAGAGAGAGAGAGAACCCCGTACCTTTTTCACTGGAGCTGCCTCGGACTTCAAGCCATCAGCGGAAAGCTTCTAAAAAATTAGTTATTTTCGTGTTTCCACAACAATCTCTGCTAGCCTGCCCTCTCCTCTTCCTCAACAATCTCTGCTAGCCTGCCCTCTCCTCTTCCTCAACAATCTCTGCTAGCCTACCCTCTCCTCTTCCTTAACAATCTCTGCTAGCCTGCCCTCTCCTCTTCCTCAACAATCTCTGCTAGCCTACCCTCTCCTCTTCCTCAACAATCTCTGCTAGCCTGCCCTCTCCTCTTCCTCAACAATCTCTGCTAGCCTACCCTCTCCTCTTCCTCAACAATCTCTGCTAGCCTGCCCTCTCCTCTTCCTCAACAATCTCTGCTAGCCTGCCCTCTCCTCTTCCTCAACAATCTCTGCTAGCCTGCCCTCTCCTATTCCTCTGCTAGCTCACCTTCTCTCTCCGATTCTGCACACATTCATAGCACACAAAGTTGAAGCGCGGGTCCTTCGCCTGCTCCTTGGTCACCTCCGGCCGGTTGCACTTCATGTGGACGTACTGGAATTGGGTTGGTTTTACGAAGGCGAGCAGAGACAATTTGAGACATCCTGGCCCCTTCCTAGCGGCCAGCAGAGTCATTTTGAGAGACGTACCTCCTTGCAGTAGTGGCATTTGAGGAGCTGATCCATCGGCGTCGATTTGGCCCCTGAACAGTGTGGACAGCGCTTATCCTTCTCTTTTTCCTTTTCTCGGTCTTCTGAGTCATTGCTGGAGCCCTCAGAGCTGTCGGCAGAGCGTGAGGAGTCGGCGACACGGCCTGGGAGAGCGCTCTAAAACGAAAAATTCACTTTTCTCAAGGGACTTTTGCTAGCCTGCCCCCTCTTCCCTAATAATCTCTGCTAGTTTTCCCCGCTCCTTACCGCTGATTTGCTGATCTTCTCCTTCTTCAACGCTGCATCGGAGAACAGATCGATCGGCTTGACACGCATCCTGAAATTTAGAATCTTTTTGACTATGGTTAGGTGGATTAACGCCTATTTTATCACTACTTACCCTCCCGAAACCGAAACATTCTTCCTCAACTTTGAGACCGACTCCACGAGTTCATCTCCAGAATCGTGGAGATCGCACTCTGGGTGAGCCTTCTTGTAGTCGGAAACCTAAAAGGGCAGGCTAGCAGAGATTGTTGAGGAAGAGGAGAGGGCAGGCTAGCAGAGATTGTTGAGGAAGAGGAGAGGGCAGGCTAGCAGAGATTGTTGAGGAAGAGGAGAGGGCAGGCTAGCAGAGATTGTTGAGGAAGAGGAGAGGGCAGGCTAGCAGAGATTGTTGAGGAAGAGGAGAGGGCAGGCTAGCAGAGATTGTTGAGGAAGAGGAGAGGGCAGGCTAGCAGAGATTGTTGAGGAAGAGGAGAGGGCAGGCTAGCAGAGATTGCTGAGGAAGAGGGGTCAAGATGTTCGGAATACCGTACCTCCTTACACACTTGCTGCAGCTCCTCGAGGGCCTCGGGGCGCAGATCGATGAGCAGCTTGGCGAGCCTGGAAAAATGAGAGGTCAGAAGCTAGCAGAGATTTTTGAGGAATTAAGTCTGGTTTAAGAATATATTTAAGAATAAAATCTTTTCCAATTTTACACAGAGAGGGCAGGCTAGCAGTGATAATTTGCGGAATCTCAACCGTCAGGGCAAGCTAGCAAGGATTTGTGCGAAATTCGAGTCAACTCAGATAGGTCAATAGATATCTTTAGAGGTTTTCGGGGTTCTGGGCGGGATGGCAGAGACAATTCAAGAAATTTTGGCTTCAAGAGGGGCAAGCTAGCAGAGTTTCTTTGCGGAAATTTACCAAAAAAATTACTATATACCTTTGAAACAACTTACCGATCGTAGAACGGGTTTCCGAACGGATGGGCGGACATTTTCTGACGTTTCGCGGCCGGTGGATCGTTTTGTGGGGATTTGTTCATCGTGGTTTTTCAGAATCTTATCAGAATAGACCCGAATCGTCTGGCCTCTCCTTAATGCATCAATTTCCGGCTATCCGACCACCATCTGGGTGCCAGATGCCCGGTCGGCCTGCCCTGGGCGTCTGTCCCCATTTCGGGGCACCCCCGGGGAAATTGGGGTTACGGTGGCTGCGGCGCGGTATTGGCCGCAAGCCTAGCCATGAATATCTTTTAAATTGTATTTTTATAAAAATTAAAGGTGTAGAAAAATTAGAACAAAGCAGTTTGTATGTAGTTTTTTGCGCTCTTTCCGATGATCTACGTAAAATTCGCGGATATAGATGATTTTGCGGCTAAAAGAGCTCTAAAGTCCAAACTCGAACTAAAATCCTTTAAATAATATTTTTAATAAAATTAACGTTTAGAAAGCTTGAAGCCTATAAAGTCTGGTATGTTTATTTATGTTCTTTTAGACGGAATTTTCGAAGCTCGCCTGCCCAAAATCTTAGCCACGGAGCTTTCGCCTTATCGGGGGGGGGGGGGGTAGAAACCCAAAAATACCCAGTAAGAGAAATTTTTAAGCTTTTTAGAATCTAAAAAAATATTTTCAGGGGAAGCCTAAAAACACAAAAAGTTATGAGATTTTGGTTGAAAAATTGATTTCGTTCTAATATTTTCGAGAACATTTGCATGTATATTTTTGCGTTTATGAATCGTAAAAAATCTTCGAAACAATTCTCTGTTGATTTTCAAGAATAGCCTCAAAAAGCCGCAACGAGATCGCGGCTTTTAAAAGGCGTCCTAGATACGAAAAAAACTTTGAGCAGCAAATTCTACTTTACCTAATCTTTCTCCTGGTTTCCACTGACTTTTCAATATTTGGAAAAATCTGGCTCCCGAGATTTCCATCTAAATCAGCCCGCCGCTGGACCTTCAGCCTGTTAAATGACGGTGGCATCGAGTTCAGCGTTCGTATGGGAGTATCGGAATGTTTCTCAATTCTTCAGGCAATATAGCTCTTGCTCAAACCTTAATTTAGCGCCTGTTTTATCGCCTGGTTCAATTTGTGTTGATTTCTAGCAGAGACACTTCGAGGAATTGCGGCCCCTCCACAACCTACGGACAGGCTAGAAGCCAAATTCAGAGAAGATCGGGCCAAAATTTCTGAATATGCCACGAACTCACACAAGCCCTAAAAAAAGTTTCAGTTATTTCAGTGTTCAAAGCAGAATAATTCAAATCAATGTGAGGCTCATTTCACCCTAAAAAGATACAGGAGTTTTTAAGCTTAGGATTTAGGCTTAGGCTTAGGCTTAGACTTAGGCTTGGCCTACGCCCATCTTCATACCAGCGTACCCCCACCGACCCCCCCTCCTACCACAGGTCGCTTTTCCGGAAAACCACCAGCAACCAAGCAGGGGGTCGCCACGACAACACCTCACATGAAAATTAATCGGTTTCTCGCAGCCCTAGGGGCCGCTGTAGCCGCCCCAGGGGCATAAAAATACCACCAGCCTTCCCAGTATGGGAATATGCCCCCCGAAAAACCCCGCTCCACAACGACCCCCGCCCCACCACCCAAAAACAATCAGGTGGGTGGCCAGGTGGTTGGGGACCTTGACTGAAGCTTCATCGATTTCCGGCCCTGAAATTCCTCAAATTGTCTTTGCAAGCCTGCCCTTTACGGCTTTGGAGCGGGCCCACAATTCCTCAAATCATCTCTGCTAGCTCGCCCTCTCCATGGATTACCGTAGTGCGCTGCACATCCCTGGCAATTGGGCCCTCAGCACTGGGGTCACCATAGCGACAGCGCATCTTCTAGCTGAAAGATAACTGAGATACGGTAGTCATAAATCCTCGGATCGAGCATGCTGGCAGAGACCCTCTGCCATATTTCTCTGGCCTTCACCTATTTCCTTTCAGATTGCAGCCTCTAATGTTTTCAGCTCAAAAATGGGACCCACGTCGCCGCGGCCTCGATGCTAAATGGGCGGGATTTGCAGTAGTAGCACAAAGGTTGGTAAATGGTGCCTCTCCTCTTCCTCAACAATCTCTGCTAGCCTGCCCTCTCCTCTTCCTCAACAATCTCTGCTAGCCTGCCCTCTCCTCTTCCTCAACAATCTCTGCTAGCCTGCCCTCTCCTCTTCCTCAACAATCTCTGCTAGCCTGCCCTCTCCTCTTCCTCAACAATCTCTGCTAGCCTACCCTCTCCTCTTCCTCAACAATCTCTGCTAGCCTGCCCTCTCCTCTTCCTCAACAATCTCTGCTAGCCTACCCCTCTCCTCTTCCTCAACAATCTCTGCTAGCCTGCCCTCTCCTCTTCCTCAACAATCTCTGCTAGCCTGCCCTCTCCTCTTCCTCAACAATCTCTGCTAGCCTGCCCTCTCCTCTTCCTCAACAATCTCTGCTAGCCTGCCCTCTCCTCTTCCTCAACAATCTCTGCTAGCCTGCCCTCTCCTCGTCCTCAACAATCTCTACTAGCCTGCCCTCTCCTCTTCCTCAACAATCTCTGCTAGCCTGCCCTCTCCTCTTCCTCAACAATCTCTGCTAGCCTGCCCTCTCCTCTTCCTCAACAATCTCTGCTAGCCTGCCCCATACAGTAATCTACCTAAATTACAGGGTACTGTAGCCGGAGCGGGGCCTCCGACTCCGGGTCAACAGAAAGAATCCACAAATCCATCGTTGATCGTGCCAGCTTCCGACAATCGACCTCCGTCCCAACACGGCACCGGAGCGGTGGACGAGGGAGCGGTGCGTAATTGGGCGCACAACCTACTAGTCACCAAATCCCGGAAATGAAATGAAATTTCGTTGTCTAGGTTCTGCAAGAAATCCAGCGCACAGCCACCCCGAATCCGCTGTCACTGCGCGGAGATGACGATGACAGCTATGAGATTATACGATTGTTGTTACTAGGTGAAGGAAAAGACCTCGACAAATTTCAATAAAATTTCAGGAGCAGCAGAATCAGGGAAGACGACCATTTTGGAGCAGATAAGGTGGGTTTTGTTGGGTAGGAATGGGCAGGCTAGCAGAGATTGTTGAGGAAGAGGAGAGGGCAGGCTAGCAAAGATTGTTGAGGAAGAGGAGAGGGCAGGCTAGCAGAGATTGTTGAGGAAGAGGAGAGGGCAGGCTAGCAGAGATTGTTGAGGAAGAGGAGAGGGCAGGCTAGCAGAGATTGTTGAGGAAGAGGAGAGGGCAAGCTAGCAGAGATTTTTAGCACCAAAAACCCGAGCTTCCAGAATCATGTTCAAGCAGCATTTCACCGAGGCCGAGCTCTTCCACCGGAAAGCCTTCATCTACAACACGATCCTCCGAAACATTCGCCATTTGGTGCAGCGCACACGGCAGATCGGGTTGCAGTACAGTAACCCGGAGAGTGAGGTAGGCTACAGGCTACAAACTACAACTTTTTCAGGGCCTGGCCGACCTGATCTTGAACCAGGGTGAGACGCAGTACGGCCACTTTACCGGCGAGGTCGAGAATGCGATTTGCCGGATATGGGCGGTAGGGAATTCCGCGATAATCTCTGCTAGATTCCCTCTTCTCTTCCTCAACGATCTTTGCTAGATGGCTCTTTTCTTAAAATTCCGTCATAATCTCTGCTAGCCTATTTTTCCCTCAGAATTCCCCAAGGATCTCTGCTAATTTGCCCCTATCGACTAGGTCCGTAAGAGATTGCCGCAAGCTTGGCCTATGACTCCTTTTTTCGAAACGAATCACTGCTAGCTTGCCCTCCCAACACGATTTTCCGCAGGAACGTTGCTATCCTGCCTCTCTCCGCCAGCTCTTCGCAAAGAATCACTGCTAGCTTGCCCGTAATACCTGTTTTTTCTTAAGAAACTCTGCTAACCTGTCTTCGTCTGAGTCCCTTTAATTCTGCAATTTTTTTCAAGGATCCAGCCACCCAACAAGTCTACACCAAGCGAAGCGAGATCAACCTCAACGACTCGATCAAATAGTGAGTTTTTGATTCTTGACTTTGAGGTGGAAGGTCCAGCTGTAAGTGCTCAGGCTCAGGCTCACGCTCACGCTCACGCTCAAGCGCGCGCTCAGGCTCAGGCTTTGGCTTGGACTTGAGCTTAGGCTTACGTTAGGCTTGGGATTAGGCTTAGGCATAGGCTTTGGCTTACTTAGGATAGGGCTAGCAGCAGACTAATTCAGCTTCCTCGACAACTTCCAAGCTATCAACAAAATGGACTTCCGGCCATCCCCAAATGACTTGATCATGTCCTATGTGCCGACGGTTGGCGTCCAGAATATCATTTTCACCACCAACAATCGGAGCTTTCAGTGGGTATATGGAAAATTTACATAATTTTCATTAAATTTGAGAAAATTGATTTTTTAGGCTGTTCGACATGGGCGGCCAACGGATCGATCGAAGGAAATGGGCCACGATGTGGGTTTAGAAATAATTTCGGGCAGGCTAGCTGAGAGTATTTGGGAAAAGTCTAGAATCGCGGATTAGGAGACGGATAACATCATTGCATTAGAAAGTTCCTAACCAGAAGATCGCCCAATAGCTTTGAAACAGGTTTTTTTCCGCACCCTAGCAGGGATTCCTTGGGAAATCAAGGTATCTGGCAGAGACTCTTTAGGAATCTCAAATTTTTAGCAAGGCAGCGAATAGTAGTTGAGCGACACGTGCCAGTGAGGCAGGCTAACAGAGATTGTTGAGGCAGAGGAGAGGGCAGGCTAGCAGAGATTGTTGAGGAAGAGGAGAGGGCAGGCTAGCAGAGATTGTTGAGTAAGAGGAGAGGGCAGGCTAGCAGAGATTGTTGAGGAAGAGGAGAGGGCAGGCTAGCAGAGATTGTTGAGGGAAAATAACCTCATTTCTCTAGGTACGACGGCATCGACACGATATTCTTCTGTCTGGCCATCTCCGAGTATGACCAGGTCATGGACGAGGATGGGGTTACGGTAGGTGTTTTAGGGAATCTCTGCTAGCCTGCCCCAATTTAGAATCGGCTGACAGACGCTCTCTGCCTCCTCGAGAAAATCGTCCAGGAGCCGAAATTCTCATCCATTCCCATTTTTCTGTTTCTTAACGAGGTGGACGTATTCCGGGAAAAGTTGCCCGCTTTTCCGCTCGCTGACTATTTGCCGGAATATGATGGTGAGAGCGATCTTTAATTCTCTCTCTCTCTCTCTCTCTCTCTCTCTCTCTCTCTCTTTCTCGCTCTCTTGCTCGTTCTACCCAAATTTCAGGATCGAGTATAGACGATGCCTTGGATTTCATCGAAAAGCTGGCGACCTCAAAGATGGCCGGCCATCAGGAGAATTATGTCTTTCGGTAAGGGGTTCTTCAAAGATCTCTGCTAGCCTGCCCTACCCTTTCCAGCACGGTCGCCATCGACACGGACGATATGAGCAAGGTGCTGCACGACATCTTCAAGATATTACTCAAGAAGAAGCGCTGAACATATATTGACGATAGTCCGATGTTAAGGATAGATGTACAGAGGTGTAATGTGGAATAAAAAAACTGAAAAGATTAGTTAAAATTATGTTTCCTAAAGAATCCCTGCCGGCTCGAACTTCCTCAAAGAATCCCTGCTAGCCTACCCGATTCCATATTTCTTACAGGATCTCTGCTAGTTTCTCTACTCCAAAATTCCGCAAAGGAACCCTGCTAGCTTGCCTGAACCCATTCCCCAAGAGCTTCTGCTAACCGGCTCAGTTCGAAATTTCACGAAGAATCTCTGCTAGCCTGCCTTATGTCGTACTTTTCAAGAATCTCTGCTACCCTGTATCATTCAAAACTTTCCAAAGAACCTCTGCTAGCCTGCCTTTCTGAATTTCATAGGGACCTCTCCCCGCTAGCCCGGATCAAAATTCGTCAAAGTCTCTTTGCTAGCTTGCTTGTTTCGAAATTTCGCCAAAGAATCTCTGCTAGCCTGTCCCGGTCCCTAAAAAATAAATCGAAAAATATGAGGGTTGCTCCAAAAACGCAGAGGTTAAGCCGACCAGTTCTGGGGCAGGCGGACAGACAGATTGACACACAAACAGACATGAAAATGGAATATTGCAGGTTGTGGGATCAGTGAAGCGAGAGAGAGAGAGGGAGAGAGAGAGAGAGAGAGGGAGCGAGAGAGAGAGAAAGAGAAAGCGAGTAAACGTAATCCCCCGCGTTCACTGTCCCGTGTCCCAACATCGGCTCAAAAAAGACTGGTCGGATTTGCATCTAGTCGCGTCGAAACATTGACGGGTTCAATTCCCGAACCGGTCGAGAATTATTGCCATTGCCACGTTCCGAAAAAATGAACCCCCAAGTTTGGGCGGATTACAAACCCCGAAAACCGGAAATGCATGTCTGGAATTTGGCACCGAAATGGGCGGCTTTTTTGGGCAGGCTAGCAGAGGCAATTTGGGAAATGGAAAAGAGGCGTCGAGGGTGGGCTAGCAGAAAACTTTGGAAATTGCCGAGCTTGCATGTAGCGCTCGTGAATTTAGTGTTTCAAAAAAATCCAAAGTTGTATGATCAATCGCGACTCCAATGTGTCTTTCTTTCTTCCAGCTTGCTTTCTAACTTCTTCCTCAACAATCTCTGCTAGCCTGCCCTCTTCTCTTCCTCAACAATCTCTTGCTAGTCTGCCCTCTCCTGTTCCTCAACGATCTCTGCTAGCCTGCCATCTTCTCTTCCTCAACAATCTCTGCTAGACTGCCCTCTCCTCTTCCTCAACAATCTCTGCTAGCCTGCCCTCTCCTCTTCCTCAACAATCTCTGCTAGCCTGCCCTCTTCTCTTCCTCAACAATCTCTTGCTAGTCTGCCCTCTCCTGTTCCTCAACAATCTCTGCTAGCCTGCCCTCTCCTCTTCCTCAACAATCTCTGCTAGCCTGCCCTCTCCTCTTCCTCAACAATCTCTGCTAGCCTGCCCTCTTCTCTTCCTCAACAATCTCTTGCTAGTCTGCCCTCTCCTGTTCCTCAACAATCTCTGCTAGCCTGCCCTCTCCTCTTCCTCAACAATCTCTGCTAGCCTGCCCTCTCCTCTTCCTCAACAATCTCTGCTAGCCTGCCCTCTCCTCTTCCTCAACAATCTCTGCTAGCCTGCCCTCTTCTCTTCCTCAACAATCTCTTGCTAGTCTGCCCTCTCCTGTTCCTCAACAATCTCTGCTAGCCTGCCCTCTCCTGTTCCTCAACAATCTCTGCTAGCCTGCCCTCTCCTCTTCCTCAACAATCTCTGCTAGCCTGCCCTCTCCTCTTCCTCAACAATCTCTGCTAGCCTGCCCTCCTCGATTTCACGACTCTTTTATAGCCGAAGAGGTCGTGAGAGTGGGGGGGGGGCTTTGGCCCCCCTACCGTACCCCCTTGACCTCTTACCATCCCCCAGACAGACAGAAGGGGGGTGCCACTTTTTTGCCTTTTCCATTCAAATACCTCTTGCTCCCTGGTTTACAGGCCCCTAATCCCACCCGGGAGCGCTGATTCAACAAGGGAGTCACACTCACAATTTTTCCCCCAGCGGCTACAAAGAGAAAAATCTGCCTTTTTAGCTTCCTGGGGGCATAAAAGGGATAATCGGGCAGTGGGGGGGGCTATGTGGCTGGCAGGTGAACTGCTCGAAACTGGCAACAGGTTCTGCTCGTGCTCCTCTGGGGGTCCGCCCAGGCCATGGCCACCCCCAGCCCCTCACTGCCACCTATATAAGCCGACAAGTGCATGGAGGCAAGCACAATTCTATCTGTCTCGACTTGAGCGAGAGCTCGATTTCGCTTCCTCAAAAATCACTGCTAGCCTGCCCTCGTTTTTGCCTTTAATGGCCCTTTCAAAGATTTTAATTTCGCGCCAAACCCGGACGTTCTTTCTAAATAATTCCTTTCCTTTGAATTTTCGCTTTTCTAGCCTTCAATGGTCCTTTAAAATTTGCAATTTTTGAGAGGAATCTTCATTTAAACACTTCAGAATAGTATTTTGCTGGGATTTTAGTAATTTCCGACTTCATCGGTCCTGAAGACCGTGATTTCGCTCCTTACTAGCTCGTGCTCACAACAATTATTCAGTCTCCACTTGAGTTCTGGCTTTTCTGGATCTGATTTGATCAGGTCGACTTCTGCCTTCAATGGCCCTTTAAAACGCGAAAAACTGATTTTCGCTTAAATCTTGACTCTTCCAGATGTTAATGCCCCTTTAGAGCATAATTTTCCCTTCCATGGTCCTCTAAAACGCGGAAACAGCGATTTTTTTGTTTGAATGTGGAATTTTCTGAACTTTAATAAAACCCTTAGCGCCTTTGCCTTCATTGACCCTTTAAAACGCTGAAACACCGTTTTTCCGTCGGAGTTGGAATTTTCCACACTTTAATGGCCCTTTAAAGGCTAAAATAACGTTTTTCGTCTCAATTTTGACTGCGCAGACTTTAATGGCCCTTTAAAGCGTAGCTTCACCTTCAATGGTCCTTTAACAATAGTAACGCCGACTATCTAACTAAGTAAGTAAGAAGTAGTAAGTAAGACTAAGTAAGTACGATTAAGCAAGACGCAACCATTGACCGATTCTTTCGCTTCCTAGCACCTATAATCCCTAAAACATACTGATTCCAGGCGGTACCGTAGCTCCAAATTTCCCGGCCTTTTTGGGCATTTACGATTTTGTGATGGACCAATTTTAGGGAGGCTGTGGCCGGCAAAAAACCGGTTTTCCAAAACATTTTCCTGGCCATTGTCGGGGGGACTGGTTTCACCACCCCCTACCCCCTGGCCGGGGGGATTAACCTGCCATTCCTGTTATTTGGAGGGTCGCGTACACTTTTCGGGGAAAATGGGAATTCAGTTTTAAAGGGACCAGAAAGTCCGCAAGGGTCTCTGCTAGCCCGCCCTCCCCTCTTCCTCAACAATCTCTGCTAGCCTGCCCTCTCCTTTTCCTCAACAATCTCTGCTAGCCTGCCCTCTCCTCTTCCTCAACAATCCCTGCTAGCCTACCCTCTCCTCTTCCTCAACAATCTCTGCTAGCCTGCCCTCTCCTCTTCCTCAACAATCTCTGCTAGCCTGCCCTCTCCTCTTCCTCAACAATCTCCTGCTAGCCTGCCCTCTCCCTCTTCCTCAACAATCTCTGCTAGCCTGCCCTCTCCTCTTCCTCAACAATCTCTGCTAGCCTGCCCTCTCCTTTTCCTCAACAATCTCTGCTAGCCTGCCCTCTCCTCTTCCTCAACAATCTCTGCTAGCCTGCCCTCTCCTCTTCCTCAACAATCTCTGCTAGCCTGCCCTCTCCACTTCCTCAACAATCTCTGCTAGCCTGCCCTCTCCTCTTCCTCAACAATCTCTGCTAGCCTGCCCCTCTCCTCTTCCTCAACAATCTCTGCTAGCCTGCCCTCTCCTTTTCCTCAACAATCTCTGCTAGCCTGCCCTCTCCTCTTCCTCAACAATCTCTGCTAGCCTGCCCTCTCCTCTTCCTCAACAATCTCTGCTAGCCTGCCCTCTCCTTTCCTCAACAATCTCTGCTAGCCTGCCCTCTCCTCTTCCTCAACAATCTCTGCTAGCCTGCCCTCTCCACTTCCTCAACAATCTCTGCTAGCCTGCCCCCTCCTCTTCCTCAACAATCTCTGCTAGCCTGCCCTCTCCTCTTCCTCAACAATCTCTGCTAGCCTGCCCTCTCCTCTTCCTCAACAATCTCTGCTAGCCTGCCCTCTCCACTTCCTCAACAATCTCTGCTAGCCTGCCCTCTCCTCTTCCTCAACAATCTCTGCTAGCCTGCCCTCTCCTCTTCCTCAACAATCTCTGCTAGCCTGCCCTCTCCTCTTCCTCAACAATCTCTGCTAGCCTGCCCTCTCCACTTCCTCAACAATCTCTGCTAGCCTCCGTCTTCTTTTCCTAGTATCTCAAATGTTTCGACATTAAAGATAGTTGTTTTGGTTCCGAATGTCGCAATAGGCCGTTAATAGCACTTTCAGCAAATAATCCCTGCTAGCTTGCCCTAGTCTGCCTAAATGGTCTTTCCTAGTCTGCCCTCCTGACATTGCCACTATTTTCTAAACTACCGTCATCCACCGTAACTCCTAAAGTCTTTCAGACAATGCAAATCCTCCTCATCTCGCTGCTGGCCACCGTCGCCCTGGCCCAATATGGCCCGCCGCCCGGCGAGACAAGAATAAAGTGAGTTTTTGCCGTATTTATGGTAATTAAAAGGTCTCAAAATTCGGAAACAACGTTAAAAATGAATTTTTGTGACCAAAAGCTTGTATTTTTACCTAAACAAACATTAGTAAGTTAATTTTTAGTTTAAAATCATATCTTTTTGAAAACATTCTATTTTTTATCAAGATGGCATGAAAAGGAGCGCCTTAATTTTACTAATATTTTTTTGCTGTTTTAAAAGTTTGTTTTTAAGTTTATATCGATTAGATTCATTTTCATCTATTTATTAAGTTTCTATAATTTATCGTTTCGTTGTCGATTTAGCGGCCGGTATTTCCCGACGAAC